CAATTTTAAAGCTATTAGAATTTAATGGCTAGGTAGACTATATGACAGACCCCTGCCCAGATACCAAGCATCTCTAAGGCCCATGGAAAGCCATGAAAGAGGACACCATATCTCACACTTCAGTGTTTCCCAGTGCATTTTTTCTAGGAACATTAGACCTAAATTACATTAATAGGTATATGTTAAAAAATGTCTTCTTTGATTATATAAATTGGGAAAACATTTAGTTGAATCAGAGGTTGAGATTAGGAACCTAAGGAAATAATTATATATGGTGGACTGTTAAGACTATGTAAAGTCTCCTCTGAGCTCAGAGTAGATTGGAGTTAATTCTTTGATTTTTTTTTAACAAACACTTTCTAAATGATTAAGTTGATACCCAAAGTATTTCTAAATCTGATATGTTAAAAGTATTTTTAAGCAGCTTTTTAAATTTCAAACTAAAGCTATTCTATCCTTTAAGATAGATTGCATTTTTAGTGGCCTAGAATAGATAATACAGAGAGTCACCAGCTTGACATATTCTCATATGGCAGCATTCTGGTTTCCATGTGAAGTTATAATTATTTTTAAAAACTCTACTATGAGGTTTATATATTATATATTAATAGATCATTTTGAAGACATCAGAAACTTCACCAAGTTGTCTAATACAATGACAGCTTTCTTAGGCTAGAACATGAGGAAACTGAAATCTAATAAATATAATGTTGGTCAGCAGAGACTCTGTAGGCCTTTGGATTTTCATTTGTGAATGTTAAAGATCTTTGTCTCCAGATTGTCTTTCTATATTTCTTTCATATTCTCTCTCTCTCTCTCTCTCTCTCTCTCTCTCTCTCTCTCTCAATACACACACACACACACACACACACACACACACACATTCTGACACTGCCCTGGAGCTATGACAACTTATTGGATGATAGCTTCCTTTCATTAAAAAAATGGAAGAATCTATAGTAGCATTTCTAAGCTTTAACTCTACCCCCAGTGATTTATTTAATTGGTTTGTGGTGGAGCGTGATGAACAAACAGTATGTCTTTAAAACTCATCAGATGATTCCATTATTCAACCAGAGTTTAACCCTATAGACCCAGAATACTAAGTTCTCAAGCAAGCCCCAAAGGACTTGTTAAATCACAGATTATTAAGTTCCCAGAGTATCTATAGATTTGGGAGGAGGTCTGGAAATCTGCTATTCCCACATAATGCTAATGCTGCTCTTCAAAGAACCATATTCTGACAATCGTTGTCCCAGATCACTCTCTTCTATTGAAACTTTACAATTTCCTTTTAGTTGTGTGTTTGTTTAATTTGTAGGTAAAAAGGAATTTTTATCAGATAATTTATTATCTTTGATTAATCAAACCAGAAGTAAAGCAAGCATTTATCTTCCCTAGTTTAGGTAAAATCTAGACTCATATTGAATATGGTGTTTACTGTCATGAAACAAAACTCATTTCTTCCCAGGCATGTGTTTTCTTACTTTCATCCAATAAATGGATTCAAATCACAATAATTAAAGCTGTGTAATAATGAAACTAGAGAACTTGAAATTGCAGAGGGCGACAGGAGCTTATCTAATTAAGCAGGAATTACTCTTCCTACTTGTAGAAATCAGAAACTTGAAAGAGGCGGAAGGAGAAAATAGTGAACAGACATATGCATGCATTCACATATGACCAACGATGGACATGATCAAAAACCAGCCTGATGAAAATGGGTGATTTGTGTCCACCGAGAAGCAACTAATGTGAAACAGGAGAATGCCACAAACATCTGGCACAATAATTAGGACTTAACAACACAAGCAATCAGAGGTTATTCAAAGTTCCTGAGCAAAAGGGTCCCATGAGGCAAACCATGTTTCAGCTTTATTGGTCTGGCGGACTGGTTTAAAGATAAACAGAAGTATTTCCCATCACTGCAGGGTATAATAGAGCTGCTGCCTGAAATAACAGATCGCAATAAAGTTTTATTGTTTTGCAAAAAGTCAAAGAATTAACTCCCAAAGAAGACTTCCAGTAGGGAATCACTTTGATTTGTACATGAAATGAAAAATAATAGGACAATTTATAATTTACCACAAGAGCCAGGTAATTTTCTCACTCCATTGGATTCTTTCAAACAAGACACAAAAGTTGACTTAAAGATGACTTAAAGTTTCATATCAGATTGATAGAGATTGTATAGTAAAATCATTAGACAAGGGACCCCTTGATCCTGCATTGAACAACAAATCATAATAGATATTTTTTCTAGTTTGAAGACAGTATAGTTAAATGTAATTTTATTAAAGATCTTTTTCTTAGCCTGATTCATTATCTAGCCAAGGATCTCTGTTTAGGTAAATGTATCATAAAGGCATCTTTTTTTAGCAGCAAAGTAGGAATTTTATTCTTGAATTTTTTTTAAGTTCTCTCTTCAGGTTTTAGGGGAAGATCAATGTTTCTGATTATCTTGTCAAAGAGAGGACTAGCAGAACAAACATCCAAATCGACTATCCAGGAGGCAGCTGAAGTTGGAATCCTGAATGCCAAGAAATGCTGAATGGGCAGTCACCATTAGAAGTGGTGGTTCAACTCCAGAAACTTCTAAGTGCTCTGAGGCAGAGCATATACAGCAAAGCACCAAAATCCAGCAGGGTCAAGGAAAAGCTTTCTACACACAAGAGAGAAGTTCTGCACAACTTCAGTTACAGAGGAAAGGTAGTCAGAAGACTAGGAGAGTTAGAAAACAACAACAACAACAACTTCTCTTTGGAGGAAAGCGTGAGATATATACCTAGGAAGGAAAGCATAGTATGTAGATTTTTTAAGTGACAGTATGAAATAGAGATCAGGTTGTTAGTTCTGTTTTTGTTGTTGTTTCTTTCTTTTTAGATACAGTTTTGTGGTTACAAACTTTGTACATTAGAATCACCCAGGCAGCTTATTAATCAGGAGTCTCACAATACATGAAGATTCTGTGTTTGACCCAGACATCTAGATTCTTAATAAGTACTCCAGATGATTGGAGTTAATCTTTGATGAGTTAATTGATTTGATGAGTTAATTTATTTGATGAGTTAATCTATTGATGAGTTAATCTTTGAAAAAGACTCACATGTGTTCATTTACTGTGTTAACAGTAGAGGTGTGTAGAGGGAAAAAAGCATAGGGGTTTGAGAATGAATGTCTTAGAAGAAAGAAAAATACAAATAAAATAATTTCTAAGTGGCATTGAGGGGCAACAAATTGAAATTCAACATCAGGGATCACATTTGCTGCCTTCTAGCAGGGCTGTCAGTAGAAGATAAACCACACAGAGCAAGTGTTCCAGACATGAACCAAGGGGTTGGTCATTTATTCTAGTTTCTAGGTTGGTTTGATGTCTGATGTTAATGAAACATCTGAAGTTGATTATAATTTCACTGGCAAGTGTTACGTTTTGAAGTTTAACATTTTGGAAAGAATCACTCCAAGAACGTCCTATTTATATCTTTAGCTATTGAACAGGAAAAAAAGGAAAAATTTTTGATGTTTTCCATGTATCTTAGAACATCATGCAATGCTTGACTTTTGCAGAAATTTCTGGTGTGAGTTAATTAGAATACATAAAAAAGTCAGTTAATGGGGTCAGGTAAAAGCAAAAGAGGTTTTCCATTGCAGTTCTGAAATGGGAGAATAACCTTAAAGTTAGTTATCAGCTCCCTCCCACACTCCACAGTACCACTGCCCCTTGGTTTTCTTTGTGGGCTCACATGAACAGCTCTTGAGTTTGCTTTCGTTTTGGTTCTGTATGTCACAATTTACAAAAATATTCTTACTGTTTTATTAATTTTTTAATTTTTAAAATTACTTATGCCAACAGTACTTGGCTTTTTGACAATGGACCCAAGAATTTTGTTCCAGTCCTTTGAAAACTGACTATGCAAATGCACGTGAATTTGTTTATATACAGCAATTTCAATCATTTCACTCCAGGTTCAGAATACAGAACAAAGGAATGCAAGAGAACACAGACAAGGGAAACAATTCATTTGCACTGGAGTGTTACTAATATACATACTTTCGCATAGTTTTAACATAAAAACAATTGGGATTTGTGTTTTGCATATTATTTAACCTTTATCTTATTCTAAAATCTCAGAGAATCTTCAGTAATATTACTTTCCTAAATTCCTAAGTGCATATTAATAAGGTGCTACATCATATTTTATATTTATTTGAATATTGATTAAGTTGCATATAATATGTAATGTTATAGCTAATATTATAGGAAATGTCTTTTTACTGTAAATTCTTATTTTAAATTTTTTTAGAGAATTAGACCTTTCTGTTCTTGTTACTTTTTTTATTTCTTCTGCTCCAGTTCCTGTTTTTATACTGTTCTTGATTTTCTTTTTTACTTGATCTGTTTCCTTTTATATATACAGTTAAGGAATGCCCTTGATGATCATTAAAGAAAGACATAACTTGAGCTAAATAATTTCTGAATAATAATTATTTTGTATGTGATGACTTAGGCAAAAATTTTATCTTAATTTGGGTCAGTTCTTATCTAATTTATGTTTTCTTTCATATATTTCATAACTGTCAATACTAGATAGTTTAAAACTATTTTATACTATTAATATTGAATAATTTCCAAAGAATCAATAATAAATTAAAAACCCAGTTTCCAATTGTTTTCAGTCAGAATGATTAAGTTTTAATATTTATAGTACGTTTTTTTAATTGTAAAAATCATGTAACTTTGATATGGGCATATTGCCAAGAATGTGAAATCTTTATAATAAGACCAAAGCTCCCCTTTCTTTTACTGAATAAATTATTCAACCTGAAAGTAGTTTGTTAGAATTTTGTTCAATTTTAAATAATATTAAATTATAAAATTTAAATAGTATTAAATTTTAATAATTTTCAAGAAATTTATCTCCTTACAACAAAATAACTTCAATTGCTTGACTTTGTATTGAACACTTTATTCATTTGTCTAAATCTGTATTTTTTCATAGAGTTGTAGCTTATGAGAACATCAATAAAAACGACTATTATACGATTAGCCAAAAGGCAGTGACACACGTTTACAACGATGAGATTGAATTTATTGAAATTGATCGATGGGAACAGGAATACCTATATCACAGAGAACTCATTAAGATCCCCATATTTTCACTTTTCCGGAAATGGAAGGCTTTTAGCGTATGGAGGAAGAATGTACGCTCCACGAAAATCAATGAATGTCGAAAATCGCTACAAAAAGATTTGTTCATTGTTCATCCTGTATGTATTTATTAATTGTAATTTAAAGAATTACAGAAAAAGAAAATGTGAATCTATTATAAGTATAGATAGTCTCTGAAATGGAATATTTCACCTTTTTAAGAGAATTCACAATTTTTAACCTGTCTAGTCAATTAGGAGTTTGGCAATCCAGTGGCATTTCTATATTTTAACTATGGTTGCAAAATGCAGAAGTACAACAAGAGAGTTGTACAGGTCCCCTTTGATTAGAAACAGGCTCAAAGTCTTGGATTTGTAATCCCCTTTGTTGTTGATCAGAAAGCTGTATGTCTTTTGAGAACAGTGGATTGGCAGCCCTATTACCTCCCCTCTTCTCTAAAACCTTCTGGACTTAATGGCCCCAAATAATCTGGTACTTGTTTTCATGGGCCAGTACCTCTCAGTAGATCATATAGGTTCCTTTACCATGGATTCAGATAATTGGGGAAAATTTAACTTTTATTTTGAATGATAGGAGATGATAGGAAAAAAAAAACTGCTAAAGAATGTGTGGCCATATTCAAATTTCACTCAGTGAATTTCAACTTACATTAGAATTTTTGTACTTGACTCCTGGGAATAACTGAAATTATTACTGGCACATTCAAGAGTGCTATATCCTCAGCTGTCTGTTTCTATGACACTAAGTCACTACTTTCTCCAATCAAAAGCCTTTAGTTTTCTTTTTACGGTCAGTTCCTTTACTTTGCATAAAGTAATCTGAAAGACTTATCACCATGTTAGTCACACAATCAAGGAATATTCAGGACTACACTTAACACAGATATTAGTGCTAAACAAATATATATACCATCTGGAGTCCTCCATCTCATCCAGCATTCTGAGTTGTGGGAAAATATTCTAGTCGTTGATATAGAATTCAATCCTTACACACATCTACTTTCTTCATTTAAAGATATTTCACTACCTTTTACCATGTCTTGAATACTATCCATATTATAAATTTGTTACTAAACGTGCAAAATAGTTCTCCCTAGAATTGCCTCCAAATCAACTCACTCATCAAAATTCACTCTCTTATTTTGTGTGCTTAAAGTTATCATTATCTCCTGTGCAACATTCATACCAGTGGTGCATTGGCTTTGATAATATCTCCTCTTGAATTGGTTCTAGAGGACTAGAATGTTTTCATGCTTTCAAGCTGCAATTGACATAAATAGCAGTCCCATTTGAAAGAAAAGTGGCACAGAACTGATCACACACACCTGGGATAAGAAGCAGATTTATTGTCAAGAGCCTGACAAGGTTGCTCTGCACAAAGACAGGGATAGCAGCAGCAAGGAGGGAGAGCAGTAGCAACTCCCCCTTGAATGTCACCTTTTATAGACTAGAACCATGGCCATGCACTAGGGGCAGGTTTAGTTTTCCTCTGATCTTGTGGAAGGCAAGTTTGTTTCTTGGGAACAGAGAAAGGCAGTTTTCCTATCTCTCAGAAGGGGGAACAAGGAAATAGGCATGTACCTTTATCTTCTCAAGGAGAGAGCAGGGAGAGACCTGCATATCTCTAGACCTGCATTATCTCAGGCTATTTTCTATTTCTTGGGAATAAGAACAGTATTCATAAAGTGGGGGTGGGGAAAAGGAAGATGGCTGCAATTATGCTAACACCATTGAGATGGTTTGAATACCTGTTAGATGCTAACTCACACTTATCACAAGTCTTATAATTACAACTACTTGACTAGAGTGGCTGATTCTTCTAAACTGGGTTGAAGAAAGAAATATTGAAAGAAGTTGTTCCAGAAATTTTTATTTTTAGACATTTTTCAATAACCAACTTTTTTGGCACCTGTGCCTATATTTTCTCATAACAACTTTATGGATATGACATTTACATACCATAGAATTCACCTTTATAAAGTATATAATTCAATGATTTTTAGTGTATTCACAGAATTTACCAATAATCACTACAGTCAATTTTAGAACATGTCCATTATTCAAAAGAAAAACTCCATTATTCACATTCCCTCTTTCTTCCCAATCCCTCTTTTCTCCCTCACCCCAGCTTTAAGTAACCAGTAATCAATTTTTTTCTCTATATTGCCTGTTCTTTACATTTCTTTTAAATGAAGTCACAATATTTTTGTTTATTTATTTGTTTGGTTTTTTTTTGTGACTGGCACTTTTCACAAAACATAATGTTTTTAAGGTTCGTCTATGTTATAGCATTTCTTTTCATTGGCAGTTTGTTCCTTTGTGTTATTATGCCTATTTATTTGTCCACCCATCTATTAATAGAAATTTAGACTGTTTCCACTTTTCGGCAATTATGAATAATGTTGTTATAAACAATCATGTATAAGTTTTTGTCTGAACATATGTTTTTTATTTCTCTTGGTCATACCTGTAGGAATAAAATTTCTAGGTCATTAGTTACTCTATGTTTAACCTTTTCAAGAAACATAAGTTTTCCAAAACTACTTGTTGCCCACTAAAATTTAAAGTCAAATTTATCCTTGTTTTCTGTCATAGCCTTTTAGATTAATAGATGCTTCCTTCTGTTATAGTTGTGACTGGATATTGTAAAGTCCTTAAAGTAACACAAGAATCTTTATTAGCAAAAACTAATGAAATGTAAGATATTGCCCAGTTGTTTTTACTTGCTCTCATTTTTGTTCTTTAAATAGCAGAAAGACATGTATGTATTTTTAAACTGAAAAAGAAGGTATTTGACAAACTAAATCTGATAATTCAAAGAATTAGTTTACAAAAAAATTTTCAAAAGTGTTTCTACGTAATATATGTTTTTTGTAGTTGTAGCTCAAGTTAACATACAGAGCAGTTTATTTTCCTTATTAACCATTTTTACTATTCACAAGCTTTTATACTTTTAAAATACAGAACTTTTTTTTTTACTAAACAATGATAAATTTTTATTTTCATTCAGTATTTGCGACCAGCTCTTCTTAAAATAAATGAATTGTGTTATCAATTGAGCTTTATGGGACTTTATTATATTGAAAAATGTCACACCTACACCCTGCAGGAGTTCAAGGCTGCACAAGTCGCAAGACTACAAGAGGTAAGAAATTTTGCCTATAAGGATTAAGTTTTTTCCCTATTATTGATATTTTGATGTCACTAATTATGCATATTCATCAATCTCTAGGTGACAGAGCGCCTAGAAGAATTTCGAAATGAGGCAAAAGAAGTGGTCAGGAAGGCATGTCGATTTGCTTTGCGTGCTGCAGGGTTTGTTCCTGATGACTGTGCATTTGAACCTACTGAGAGTATGAAGGGCATGGACCCTGGGTATATTAGAAATGTCTGCTTTCTAAAATATCAGTTCTTCTGTATTCTCCTTGTCCTAGGTTTAAATAATGATCCTTTTTCAGTTCTTTCAAACTGCTTCTTGGTATGTTATAAATTCAATATACTTTGTGGAAGGGGGTAAAATGGTAAATACTGCATCTTCTTGCATTTCTCTCACATAAGTATTGTTGAACTGTACACAGAATATTAATTCATAAGCCTTCTATAGTGGATTCTGGTTGAGACTGTCTTCTTAAATGTATGTCTGGCCTACTGTTGGAGTCAATAGGTTTGTTAAAAATTAGGGACTGAATGGATCTCAAGATTGGACCCAGTTGGCATGGATTATAAAGGATGATAACAATACAGATGGATCAAATGCTTGAGGGTCAAGGTATTCCTGAGAAAGGTAACATGGTCTACTGATCGACTCCTGTTAAGGAGAATGTTAAAAACTATCTATACTATTTAGTTTAATTGAAATCAATTGATAGGAAATTCCTTTGAATAATTAGACTTCTTTGTAGGCTTTAAATGCGTTATGAACCAAAGGATTTTATTGTTTTTACATTTTATTTGTTCTTTCTTTGAATGTATATTGAAAGAAATGGAATTTTTTGTCATTTACATTTTAAAACTTTTAATAATCTGTACATGAATACACATTAGATAAAAGTCTGTGAATTATTAATATATTAATGCAGTATTCTAATCTGATTCAAAATGGGGTTGGGAGGGACAGCAAGGGAGGAAGATTAGGGAATAGGGATGGGAGGGAAAGAGAGGGAGAAGGGGAATACATGAATGGTGGAAGGAGACCCTCATCATTATACAAAATACATGTATGAAGATGTGAATTTGGTGTCAACATACCTTATATACAATCAGAGATATGATAAATTGTGTCATAAAGGTATATTAAGAATTGTAATGCAAAAAATAATAATAAGAGCTCATGTATAATGGCATAATTTGTCATGAACATACTTTATATAAGAAATGAAATTTTTACACAAAAATTCTTGTGTCTTCTGTTGTTCTTAGCTTGCTATGCAAAAATAAGTGGAGTAGGTTTCAGTGATGTGCTGGTTGAGTTGCCCTCTTATGGAGATTCTGAAAAAATGACATATACAGAACAGGCCAGCAAAAGGCATCATTGCATGAGGCTAACATGGTAAATGACTAGTATTTATTTTAAGAAAAATTAGATCATCCATCCTGCTCAAGCTTCATTAAAAATTAAACCTTGGAAGATGAGGAATATGTTAATTTGTATGACTGGAGTAATTATTTTGTTCTGTATGTCAAAACATCTTGTGTCCTACTCAAATATGTACAATGAAAAGTTAAAACCAAAACATAGAGATGTTTTAATGTTTTTAATTTTTTAAAAAAGGCAATGTTCATTTCCAAACATCTCCTTTAAAAAAAAAATCAAACCTGTCACCATAGAGTTCTCTAATAGTTATGAGAATTTAAGGAATATGATTACCTAAATGCATGCTCCAGAAACCCATCCCTTCAACTGCCACTCAGCAAAGTAGCTGCTGGGACAGGCAGGCTGATAGTAAATCCAGGTCTAAGAGCTCCTCTTTGATATCTAAGGCTATGATTCCCTCTGGCCTAGCCTGGAACAACTCCCTGCAATAAAACAAGTTGTGCGAAGGAGAATCCAGGCACACAGAGATTTGTGGACCTCCGCAAGTAGGTTAGGAGGGCCTGCTCTAATGCTGGGTGACCAGCACCCCGCTAGGGTAGGTTCCTGCTCAGGAGGTGTGAGCAGCCTGGGAATTAAAAAGTCTGAAATAGTAAGATATAAAGCCGGAGCCAGAAATTAGATAAAAAGGGGAGCGCATCTGATGGGAGCTGGAAATGAACAACTGAAAATTGCCCTGATTCTTTATTTAAGGAGGAGTACATCAAAGGCAGGAATAAGGTTTCAGGGAAGGAGTCTTGCTTCTCAGTGTGGCAGAGTCTTGCAATAAACAGGTTGATTGGCATTTTGACAAGCCACACCCACTTCCAGAGTCTGCATAGCTCCAGTGGGTCATTCCATCTCTGATGCTGTGCTGAACTTGTGATGGAGCTAGGTAGGAAGCCACATGAACCAGGCAGTCTCAAACCAGCAGGGTTGCTGCTGGGAGTTCTGATACTCTACTTTACTGCCTCATGGTTTCAACATTGTTTTAGTTCACACACAGTGCATGGATGACTTCCTGCACTGCTCCATCCTTTTGGTCACTAAGGAACTATGGCAAACTGGAAAATCACATAAAGTTCCACCCTATCCCTAAGGCAGCTTTTACAACTGGGAGCCTGGAAGGGAAGTGTTCCTCCTAGTACCTCACCAGGGAACTTGCTATTAGCTGTGCCATCTGCTTACCTAGCTCCATCTTCAACTTGACTATTTCAGAGTTTAAAAGTCCATCATTTTAAAGCCTTATGATCACAAATAACTCTTACAAACAAAATCACCGAAGATTATCTGAAAAATTGTGAAACTATAAAGCATTGATTATTACTATTTGGTGTTCACTAACTTAATCTAACAATTGAAACCACTTATTTAATGTACCTTAATTGTGTACTCTTTTATATATGAAAATGTCTGCATCAATGAAAGTCAGTGAAGCTGTCTCAAAGGTCACCATCAGGTCCTAGAGATACAAGAAACCCTAAAGCTCCATTTAAGCAAACTAAAAAAGTTATTCTAAATGTAACAGTTGTTGTATACATTAAGTTTTTCTTTAAAACACTTAAAAAATCATATAGCCCTTTGGCTAGATGAGCTACGTGCATTTTCCTTAATAGCTATATTGCTCATTAAATAGACTATGAAGAGTTAGAACACCTAGCTAAAAACTGATGTTGCAAATTGAATATAATTGTGTTCTAAATGGAAGAATGTCTAAGAAAAACTCTTCTGGACAATAAATCTCTGATGTTATAATATAATTAGGTCACAACTCAAGGAGAAATTATATTTTAAAATTTAAATACTTGCTTTAGAGTCACGATCAAAAATATATTGTGATTATAGAGAACTGAAACAATATTTACTTTTCTTTTCAAGCTTTATCTATCTAAATGATTATTTAATTGAGAACACACTGCATATATTAACAGTAAATTCTGCTAACTCTCTTCTGAATTATCTTACTGATAAACTGAAAAGAACACCTTCAGCAGATGTCATTCAGAAATGGATTACTGAGGAGAAGCCTGAAGTCACTGACAAAAAGGTATATTCAGATCAAACTAAGAATCATTATCAACACTTATTGATGAGTTCTTACTATAAATCATGCTATTTTCTGTATACTAGAAAAATAGAGAAATTTTCTGTTGAATATGTTTCTATTGAAGTATTTGTTGTTAGTTTTATTTCTATTGAGTATATGAATTCCACTTCTATTTAAATATTATCAACTTTGTTGTATACATTATTAATGTTTTCCCAGTTTATTGTCTGCCTTTCCATTTTGTTGATAAGTGTTTTTATAGGAGAGACATTTTATGATACTATATCATCTTTAAATATTTACCTTTTATCTTTTCTTTTCACATGCCATGGTTATAAATTCAGCTAATTATATAAACTTAAGTTTACATTTCTTTGTCTTAATTTATGCCTTGGTACTAACGTCTTTATAACACTGCAAATATGCTCATTTTAGGGGGCTCCTGTAGTGGAAAAGCAGGAAGAAGATGAGTCTCTTGTTCCCATGTTCATCACAGAACTGATTTTGACAGTCCAGTCACTACTCTTTGAGCCTTCAATGGAAGATTTTCTGGTGTGCTTCTTTATATAATTTCTGCATTATGTACACATTTTCTGGAAAATAAGCAACTGCTTTACTATCAAAAGATTGGCAGGACTATTATCACTTCTCCAAAACAGAGGAAAGCATTGTTCTTTCACAGCATTCCCTATACATAAAATCTATCTAAAAGTATAGCACATTTTCTTTAACTTGAGGAAAATTAGGAGCTTGGTAAGGTACACCATCAAGAGGACATGTTCTGGACTGGGGTTGTAGCTCAGTGGTAGAGCACTTGCCCAGCACGTGTGAAGCACTGGGTTCGATCCTCAGCATTATGTAAAAATGAAATAAAGATATTGTGTGTCCACCTACAACTAAAAAAAAATATTAAAAAAGAGGACATGTTCTACATAAACTTTATAACGGACTATAGGCATCCCTCTAATAAGAGTCCAAGAAATCATTCTTGCAAACACCATTTTTAAAATCTTTTTAAAAGCATTCTGCATCTGTGGGAACTTAATTGTTTTAGTTATTCATTGCTCTGTAACAGATTACCACAAATTTTGCAGCTTAAAACAATCATCATTTTTCTCAGTTTCTATAGGCCAGGAATCTGGGAACTTGCTAATTAGCTCATCCTCTGCTTTAGGACCTGTCCAGGCTGTAGTTCAGGTGTCAGCTGAGACTGAGGTCTTTTTTATCCCACACTTGATTGGGAAGACTCTACTTCTGAGTTCCCTCAGATTGCTGGAAGGATAGAGCTCTGTCCAGCTATTGGACCAAGATCCCCATTTTTTGCAGATGTCAGCCAATGATGACCCTTAGATATAAGAAGTACCCTGTAGTCCCTTGCTATATGACCCCTTCTATAGGCAGTTCATAACATAGCTCTTGTCTCTTCAAGGTCTGTTAGAGAATTTCAGGAAGCCCAATCTCTCCTTTGAAGTCTTTCCCTTGATTCAGTCATGTCTACCCAGGATAATCACGTTTTTTATTAACTCAGAATCAGTTTATTTTGGACCTTGATTCTGTCTGCAGAATCTTTCTGCCTTTGCCACATAATGTAACCTAATCCCTGGAGTTATATCCCTTTATAATCATAGGTCTACCCACACTCAAGAGCAGGGCATTATATAGGTAGGTGTGTGTGTATACAGTGGTGAGCAAGAATCTCAGGGGCCATCTTATTTTGTCTACCACATTTGTGTACATGTGTAGATTAGTAAACCAATCAGTCCATATTTTCTGTTGTTAACTGGTATATATACTATAGCGCAAAAGCACTAGTACTTGGGATCTGTAGATTTTAGTCTTGGCTCTACAATTAATAAGCACCCTGGGGTTTAGTTTCTTCATTTTTAAGATGAGAAGGCAGATGAGTTTTTGGGTTGCCTCCTCTTGCAGCAGTCTATGATTCTGTAATTTATGAGATAGGATATTTTAAGACATTTACAATGACAGGCAGACTGATAAGCTCCTAGTGTCTGGAACTGCTCTTGGGAGGTCCCAAGCAGAGAAGCACTGAGCTCCTATGTTTTCTTCTGGCCACAAAACTCATGTCCTTCACCTGGGATGCAGGTACCCCTGTGTTACAAGTGACACAAGGAAGCTGTCCCCAGCAAGCAGTTTGTTATCTTTACTCCCAAGTGACAGGCCTCAAAAAACTCGACACTCTTCTCATTTTCTGTCGTAGAACTCTGCTTCACATATAGTTATTTTTAATTCCTACACATGACTGAGCTCTGGGAATAATCTGCAAGTTCATGTGTTCATATCAACATAAGATTTTACTTCACATACCCAAAATTGGAAGTGTAAATAAGATTTTCATTCATGAATTTTCTCCCTCCCCCCAAATTATTTTGGTCATTAGTCTTAATCATCTTCATCTGGGTTTCAAATACACATGCATATATAGGACTGCAAGAAATTATATGCTTTAAATTTTTTTAATAATGACTCACTCTTTCTATTCCTTTATTTTTATTTATTTATTTTTATGGTTTTCTGAGGTTTGAACCCAGTGCTTCACACATGCTAGGCAAGTGCTGCACCACTGAACTACAACCCCAGCCCAGAAAATTATATGCTTCAGTCATGACATTGTTCTTGCTTAGGTTATCAGTGTATTGAATTCTTGATTCAGTATTTACTTTTCAATTTTCTTCTTGTGTTTGACAGATCTCCTATTGCATGTGATTTTATTTACTGCTTTCACCTCATGAAATAGACTCTTGGTTAAATTCCCCTTGGTTCTCTTCTGTATCTACATTTTTTTCTTTCCCATCCTTCTTTTCAAGATCTTTTCTGTCTGACCCTTGATCGATGCTTTCCTAAAGTGTTCCCTCCTCTTCACACACTATGAATTTTTCTTAGATGCTCTTTTCCATGCCTATTGTTTTAACTTCTAGGTTACTGACTCATAAGTATATATTTATATCCAGTAGTTTTTTCTTAACCCCCAGACTTAGAGCCAACTGCAAATGTCCACCAAAATGTTCCATGATCAACCTCTAATTCACCAAAATTAACTAAATTATCAACTTCTACCAAAACTTGCTCCTTCCATGCTTTTGCCATCTCAATGAAAGGCATTATTCAGCTGCCATGTCAGAGATCTGGGAGATAGCTTAGATTCTCCCTTTGCTCCCTGAGGTCCAGTCACCAGGTTTTATGTGGAGCTTTAGTTGTTCTCTCACTCAAAACCTCATCATCTCTCTCTGGCCTGACATAATAGTCTGTTTCGATTTGCTTGTTTCTCTTCCCCATTTTCCACATTTCTGTTAGCAAGTCATTCTCATAGGCAAAGCTAATCATGTCATTTTCCTGCTTAAAATTTCTCCATTACCTATGGTAGCATTTTTCAAAGAGTGCTCTGTGAGATGTTGCTAGGCATTCTAGGAGAAAAGGGGTTATGATACATTTACATATTAACCGATGTGAAAGTCCTGTTTTGTGTGTCCTGAGAAGACTCCTGTTTCCTCAGTTCTTGTCTTCTTGAAATATTTAAGTCAAGAGAATTAGAGAATAAGCATAAAGTATTTGTTTAGTTTAATGGAGGTAAGCTCTAGGAGAGCCTTGCCTCCCTGTAGAATAGACTCCCTCCCAGAGAAGAAAAGACCTAAGGCTTTCCACAGGAAGAGTTTTGTTTTATAGGTACTAGTGATTGAATCCAGGGGTGCTTTACCTAGTGACCTACATCCCCAGTCCTTTTTATTGTTTGTTTTGAGGCAGGGCCTCACTAAGTTATCCAGGCTAGACTCAAACTTGTAATTCTTCTGCCTCAGCTCCCAAGTGACTGATTACAAGTGTCACCACACTCCACATACTGGGTTTTTATACTTGGTCTTGGAATCTCCTTCCTCTTCAATGATGAACTAACTTGCTGAGGTGACTGTGCTTTGGGGGCCATGGCCTACTGCCCTGTGCTGGCTTCACATGTTGGAAAGTTTACATTGATATCCCAGAAAAACCTACCCAAGTTTTAAAGCCATAATATAAATTACAGTGAATCAGGATCTGGCAAGCAGTGCCTCTCTGCATGTTTTGAAGTTGGAAGTCTCTTAAACTGGCTATACTCACTTCTTCTAGTTTAAGAAGGTAGTACCTGAGCAAGAAGAAGGAAGGTTTGTGGGTGGAATTTCCTGTCCTCTGAGGAAGAGTTATTTTTCATCACTCAAGGTGGGGAGAGCCCTATGTTTCCTTCCCCTACCTGCCTGCTCACATCCACCTATCTCTTTACCTGTGTTAACACATCTGCCACACACTGTTTGTCCACACTGGCTCTGTGCTCCAACACCTCTTGGTGGGGGCCCCTTCATACACAATGACAGAGAGAATGGGACTCCTAGGAGTTATGTAATCTTGGCAAGCTCCAGCTCATATTTTAAGACTCATCAAGAAGTACTTTAACTAATTTTCTTTAAGGTATTTGTTCTAAATTATAAACTAATCCACGCTCATTGAAGAGAATTTGAAAAACACAAAGATCATTAAAATCATCCAAAATCTTGTCAGAAATAGAAATAACCACTGTTTTTATTGTTTCCAGCATACTTACTTTATCATGAGATTATATACATAGATGTAGATACATTTTTAAATAGGGATGATATCATACATCAGTTCTCTCTCTCTAACTTAACATTATATCATAAACTTTTTCCCATGACATTGACCAGTTTCTGAAGACATCATTTTGAAAGGGTATGGAATTTTCCATTGTATAATGTACCATGACTTGTATAACCATTCTATTCATTTTGAATACTTCAGTATATCTTTTTTATGTAAATTTTTTATTTATATATGACAGGAGAATGCATTACAATTCTTATTATATATATAGAGCACAATTTTTCATATATCTGGTTGTATTCATAGTATATACACACCAATTCGTGTCTTCATACATGTACTTTGAGTAGTAATAATCATCACATTCCACCATCATTAATTACCCCATGCCCCCACCCTTCCCCTCCAACCCCTCTCCCCTATCTAGAGGTCGTCTATTCCTCCCATGCTCCTGCTCACTATCCCACTATGAATCAGCCTCCTTATATCAAAAAAAGGTTCAGCATTTGTTTTTTTGGGATTGACTAACTTCACTTAGCATTATCTTCTCCATCTCCATCCATTTACCTGCAAATGCCATGATTTTATTCTCTTTTATTGCTGAGTTATATTTCAATGTGTATATATGCCACTTTTTTTAATCCATTCATCTATTGAAGGGCATCTAGGTTGGTTCCATGGTTTAGCTATTGTGAATTGTGCTGCTATAAACATTGATGTGGCTGTGTCCCTGTAGTATGTAGTCCTTTGGGTATAGACCAAGGAGAGGGACAGCTGGGTCAAATGGTGGTTCCATTCCCAATTTTCCAAGGAATCTCCATACTGCTTTCCATATTGGCTGCACCAATTTGCAATCCCATCAGCAGTGTATGAGTGTACCTTTTCCTCCACATCCTTGCGAGCACTTATTGTTGCTTGTATGCATAATAACTGCCATTCTGATTGGAGTG